GAAGAAGAAGAAGAAGAAGAAGGAGAAGGAGAAGGAGAAGGAGAAGGAGAAGGAGAAGGAGAAGAAGAAGAAGGGGGCGACGACGGAGACGACTACAAGGACAGGCGGGAAATCTTCTACGAACGCCAGAAAATCCCCGTCGCTCCGCTCAGAAGGCGGTCTTGTTTGATCGTAGATTAAGCTTCCTAACAGTGAGGCAAACACGACCATACTAAGAGCTTATTATGGCAGAGGGAAAGCAAAACTCTGCACAGGGGCCCACATGCCACATAGCAATAGCGAGGACGACACTAAGAACTTGTTTAAGTGTTTCCATTTGTCAGTGGGCAAACGAGGACACATTTAAACTCGATCAATTTCTGTCGAGCCCTGACAAGGGCTGAAAAGCAGAACGACGACTTCTAAAAATCTCGATAGGAGTGGGGATTTGGGAGTTGATGATTAATTTGTTGCTATTATTGTTGATGATGTTGTTGCTGTTGTTGTTGTTGTTGTTGTTGTTGTTGTAGCTGCTGTTGTTGTTGGGGGGTGTTATTGCTATTGTTGTTGTCATTACTGTTGTCTTTATTTGTTGTTGTTGTTGTTGATATTGCATGTATACCAGCACCGCTTAGCAGCAGAGCGGGAAAAGAGAACCGCTGAAAAAGATATGAAAGGTTAAAATTTCACCAGGGGACTAAATCTACCACGTGAGGTATAAAACAGCGAACAACCCTTCAGATGAATAAAAGATCAGGATGATAGATGTTGGACGGGAAAGATGGAGTAAATCATACTTGATATATAAAACACATAGGAGCCGCTGTCAACTAGAAAACACCGTAGGCTTGTTCGTATTTGAGTAAAGAAAGCACATCGACACAATAATGAGTCATTGTGCTGGGGGAAAGTACTAGAGACAGCAGACAGAAAAAAGAGGGGAAAATAAAGAGGTAGGGCCTACTGTAACTAGAGGCGCTCTCCAACCAGTCACACCATAGCATTGTGTACAGCAAACGGACAGTTAAGTTTTTGTTTTAGTAAGTGTTTTACGGCACTTGTAATACAATAAGGTCATATAACTGCCGAAGATTAGAAGTGTTACAAGAGAATAACGAACACAAAAAAAGAATGAGGGGAGATAGAGAAGATAGATTTGTTTATGGGAAAGAAAGAGCAAACCACACCAGAGCACCCGCCAACCACCCACACACAAGAGTACCAAAAGTCCAAACAAAATTACAAGATAGACGTAATAAATACATACGAACCCATGTCAACTAAAAAGCACCGTAGTCTTGTTCGTGTTTGAGTTAAGAAAGCACATCGACACAATAATGAGTCATTGTGCTGGGGGGAAGTACGACAGACAGTAGACAGGAAAAAAAAATTGGGGAAAATTAAGAGTTTTAGTTTTAGTAGAGGTTTTACGGCGCTCGGAACTGCATAAGGTCACATGAGCGCCAGAAGATTAGAGGTGTTACATGAGAGTAACAAACATAAAGAGGAGGGAAGATAAGGACGATAGATGTTCGATAGGAAAGAAGCAGCAAACTACACCAGAGCACCCGCCAACCACCCACGAAAATAAAAAGGAAGGGCCTACTGTAACTAGAGGCGCTCTCCAACCACCCACACCATAGCATAGTGTACAGAGAACTGACAGAACAGTATTATTATTATCCACACCACTCTCAAGAACCCAGTCAGAAGGAAGATCAAAGAGAAATAATAATATAGCTTCTACCCAACGCTCAACCAGCAGAATGTCTTAAATAAACGAACAGAACTGAATACATAATCTCCAACACCAGAATCAAATTCAGTCACTTCAATTTTACAATACACGAGAAGGTATGACGACTACTTCTCGCGGATCCCACGAGTACATCTGCTGTATAGTTCCCGTGACAATGGCGGAGCGGGACATAAGTCCGAGACGTTACGTAGTCCGTGACCCACGTGACCCCACTGTGGACTCTTAAGAAGGTCTTTGTCGGCGCGAACGAGAGCAATCCTCAACACAAAAATCCAATTACTGGACATTCGTCGCGGAACTGTTACGAAACCACTACAAACGCTTTCGGAGTCAGCTGAGAGATGGGCTCTCATGACTAAGCGGTTCCTTGGCTTCGTGTCAAAAGGAGTATCCAAACGCATTGGTTTAGTTTAGTTTTAGTGAGAGTTTTACGGCAGTTGTAACACAATAAGATCATACAAGTGCCGAAGATTAGAGGTATTACAAGAGAGTAACAAACACAAAAAAGTAGGAGAGATCAGGACGATAGATGTTTGATAGGAAAGAAGGAGCAAACCACACAAAAGCACCTGCCAACCACCCACCCAAACGCATTGCCGTTACGTATAGAACCTTTTTGATTCTAGGACGACTAGTC